ATACAAAAGTAAAAATCTCACTGGAAAAGGTAAATACATAATAAGGATGGACCACACACTTATAAAGCAAGTATGGAGATTAAAAAGCAAAAAGAGTAAAATTAATTAAACCTGCAATAATTAGTTAAGGGATGCTAAAATAAAAATGCAAAATGACACATCAAAAATATAAAAATTGGGGGTAGTGGGGAAAAATGTAAAGTTTTGTAATGTGTTCAAATTTAAGTTACTATCAACTCAAAACAGGCTGTTGCATACATAGTAAGTTATATGTGAACCTCATGGTAACCATAAGCAAAAGCTTCTACTAAATACACAAAAGAAAATGGGAAAAGAATCTAAACATACAATAAAGAAAACCATCAAGACACAAGAAAGTAGACAAAGAAAAGGAACAGAAGGGAACTAAGAAAACAACCAGAAAACAACTAACAAAATAGTAGTAAATATATACCTATCAATAATTACTTTAAATGTAAATGGACTAAACTCACTAATCAAAAAAGATGAAGTAAGTGAAGAGATTTAAAAACAAATGACCCATCTATATGCAGCCTACAAAAGACTTACTTCAGAAATACATCCAGAAACAGACTGAAAGTGAAGGGCTAGAGAAAGATATTCCACACAAATGGAAACAAAAATAAAGCTGAAGTAGCTGTACTCACATTAGACAAAATAGACATTAAAAGACTGTAATAAGAGATAAAGGGCATTATACACTGATAAAAAGGTCAATCCCAAAAAAGACACTTCTAATTTAAAAATATTTTTATTTATTAAACATTTATAAATATATATGCACCTAACATAGGAGCAACAAGATATACAAAGTAAATATTGACAGACCAAAAGAGAGGAATGGCCAGTAATACAGTAATAGTAGGAGACTTTAACACCCTACTTACATCAATGGGATAGATCCTCCCAACAGAAAATCAATCAAAAACATCAGCCTTAAACAACACATTATACCAGATGAACTTAGATATTTATAGAACATACCACACAAAAGGAACAGAATACACATTCTTTTCAAATGCATATGGAGTATTTTCCAGAACAGACTACATGTTACACTACAAAATAAGTCTCAATAAATTCAAGAAAACTGAAATCATATCAAACAACTACTATGGCCACAATGCTATAAAACTAGAAATCAATTACAAGAAAAAAACTGGAAAAAGTACAAACACACGGAGATTAAATACTATGCTACTAAATACCACTGAATCAACAAATAGAAAGAGAAATAAAAAAAATGTCTATAGAGACAAATGAACAGAAATATGACCTAGTACAACCTATAGGATTTAGCAAATGGAGTTCTAAGAGGTAAGATCACAGCAATACAGGCCTACCTCAAGAAAGCAGAAAAATCTCAATCTAACTTTCCACATAAAGGAGCTGGAAAAAGAACAAATGAAGCCCAAAGTCAAGAAAAATAGGAAAAAAAAATAAAATCAGAGCATAAATAAATAAAAGAGACAGGTAACATAAACAAACAAAGCTAAGAGCTGGTCCTTTTAAAAGCTAAAGAAACTCAAACCTTTAAGAGAGAAAGCTCTAGTATACAAAATCAGAAATGATAAAACTTTCAACTGACACCACAAAACCACAAAGGATGAGGAGCAACTACTACAAACATATGCCAACAAAACGGAAAACCCAGAAACAATGAAAAAATAACTAGAAACAATCTTCCAAGACTGAGTCATAATGAAATACAAGATCTGAATAGACCAATTCCTGTCTAAGATTGAATCAGTAATCAAAAATCTATCAACAAACAAAATCCAGGACTAAACACCATCACTGGTAAATTCTACCAAACAGCCAAAGATTTAATACCTATCCTTCTCAAACTCTTCCAAAAAACAAAAAAGAGGAAATACTTGCAAAATCGTTTTATGAGGCCAGCCTTGCCTGATACCAAAACCAAATATGGAAGCCACAAAAAAAGGTCATTATAAGCCTATCATTGATGAATACTGATTCAAAAATCAACAAAATATTAGGAAATCAAATTCAACAGTACATTAAAAGGATCATACATTATAATATCAAGTGGCATTTATTCCAAGGATACAAGGATGCCTCAATATCCACAAATCGAACAACGGGATACACCACATTAACAAAACTAAGGACAAAGATCGTATCATTTCAACAGATACAGAAAAAGCATTCGATGAAATCCAACATCCACTTCTGATAAAAACCCTCAACAAAGTGGGTACAGAGAGACCATTAGTCAACATAAGAAAAGATATAGTGACATAGCCACAGTTAACATTGTACTTGATGATAAAGAGCTCAAAGCTTTTCCTTCTAAGATCAGGAACAAGAATGCCCACTCTTGCCACTTTTAAGAAGCATAGTATTAGAAATCCTAGCTATAGCAATTAGGCCAAAAAAAAAAATAAAAAGAAACAAGGATGGAAGGGAGTGAAGGAGGGAGGAAGAGAATGCATCCAAACTGGAAAGGAAGAAGTAACACTGTCACTATTTCCAGATGATAGAATACTACATGTAGATAGGCCAAAAGACACCACCAAAAAATTGTCAGTATACATGAATTCAGTAAAGTAGTTAAAGACACTTGACAAAGATTTTATAAACACACAAAATCAATACACAGAATTGAAGCATTTCTTATATACTCATAATGACTTATTAGAAAGAGAAACTAAGAAAATAATTCCATTTACAGGTTCATCAAAAAGAATAAAATACCCAGAAATAAATTTAACGAAGCAGGTGAAAGACCTGTAAAAGAAAACTATAAGATGCTGATGAAAAAAACTGAAGATGACGCACAAAAAGGAAAGATATTTTGTGCTCATAGTTTAGAAGAATGTTAGTCTCCACACTACTCAAAGCAATCTACAGATTAATTGCAATCTCTATCAAAATTCTAAGAGCTAGAACAAATAGTTCTCAATTTTGTAAGGAACCAAAAAAGATCCTGAATAGTGAAAGCAATCTTGAGAAGGAACAACAAAGTTGGAGGTATTGTGCTCCCTGATTTCAAACTATACTACCAAGCTACAGTAATCAAAACAATATGGTATCAGCATAAAAAGAAACACACTGATCAGTAGAACAGGACTGGGAGCTCAGAATTACACCCACACATATATGGGCAATTATTTTCCAACAAAGGAGCCGAGAACATAAATGAAGAAAGGACTGTATCTTTAAGAAATGGTGTTGGAAATACTGAACAGCCAAATGCAAAAGAATAAAACTGGACTACCAGCTTACACCATCAACAGAAATAAATTTAAAATGGATTAAAAGGGGGTGCCTGGGTGGCTAGTCGGTTAAGCCAACTTCAGCTCAGGTCATGATCTCACAGTTCATGAGTTCGAGCCCCACATCAGGCTCTGTGCTGAACGCTTGCTTGCTTCGGGTTCTGTGTCTCCCCCTCTCTCTCTCTGCCCCTCCCTCCCCTCAAAAATAAACATTAAAAAAATATACAAAATAGATTAAAGACTTGAATGTAAAACCTGATGCCATAAATTTCCTAGAAGAAAACACAAGTGATAATAAGCTTCTTGACATCAGTCTTAGCAATATCTGTATGGATCTGACTCCAAAGACGAGAGAACCAAAAGAAAAAAATAAATTTCATCAAAATAAAAAGCTTCTGCTCACTAAAAGACACCATCATCAAAGTGAAAAGCAACCTACAGAAGGGGAGAAAGTTTTTGCAAATCATATATATGACAAGGATTAATATCCAAAATATATAAAGAAATCATACAACTCAACAACGAAAAACCACAAACAATCCTATTTAAAAAGTGGGCAGGTGATATGAATCAACATTTTTCCAACGAAGACATACAAGATGAAGATGGTCAACAGGCAAATGAAGGACGTTCAACATCAGTAATTATCATGGAAATACAAATTAAAACTACAATGAGATATTATCTCACACTAATTAGAATGGGTATTATCAAAAAGACAAGAATTAGCGAGTGCCGCTGAGGCAGTACAAAGAAGGGAACCATCACATCCTGTTGGGAATGTACAGTGATACAGACAACATACGGAGATTCCTCAAAAAATTAAGAATAGAATGACTATATGATCCAGCTCTTCCACCTGTGGATATGGGAATTACCTAAAGAATGCAAAACACTGATTTGAAAAGGTATAGCCACCCTTTTGTTCACTGTATGATTATTCACAATAGCCAAGACATGGACATAACCTAAATGTCCAGTGATAAATTAATGGGTAAAGAAGATGAATGTGGGGGTATGTGCTTGTGTGCAGTAGTATATATAGTGTACATATACTACCCAATCATAAAACAACAACAACAACAACAACAACAACAATGAAATCTTGCCATTTGGGACAACATCCATGGACCTTAAAAGTATTATGTTAAGCTAAGTGAAAGAAGTCAGAAAAAGACAAATAGTATGACTTTACTTGTATGTGGAATCTAAAAAACAAACAAACAAACCAAACTAAACCAAACCAAACTTAAAGAGAACAGACAGGTGGTTACCAGAGAGGAAAGGGGTGAGGGGGTGGGTGGAAGGGGTGAAGGAGGTCCACTGAATGGTGGTGGATGGTAACTGGACTGTTAGTGGTGATCACTCTGTAGTGTATACAGATGTATGATTATAATGGGCATCTGAAACTTCATATAATGTTAGATGGCTAATTTTACTTCGATAAAAAGAAAAATGATAGGAAATTCAACAAGTACAGAACCAAGACTTGAACACAGCAGTTCAATGAGTCAGTAAGACAGAGGAAGAGCCTTCCGGCTAGTACTGCAGTACTGCAGGGGATCCTGTAGAACCCACTCATCACTACAAGGAGGCCTGACCATCCGGTATTGGTGATGGCACTTCTCTCTCTTAGGTTCTTCTTACGCAGTTCGTACGGTTACAGATGAGTGGGGGCATTTAAGAGTTATATCAGCACTAACTACACAGCATTCAAACAACAGTCAAAAATCAAATTACTTAGGGTAAGAAGCCGGAGTCTGCTGGCTGGGAAGGGCTGGGTTTACGGATGGCGGAACAGCTCCCTGGCTGAGAGAAGACAGCTGCTCTGGGGGAAGACTGTAGCTCTGGAGGTGGCTCATCTGCGTGCTCCCTGCCACCAGGTAGGCACCACTCTGAGGCGGCCCCGGGTACACCTAGAACAGGTCATGATTTAAAAAAAGAAAAAAAAATAGACTAAGATTTTAACAGGTATGACAAAATTTCTTTGTAGAGGCATTCAGTTACACAGTAAACAACAATGAAAGCTCCAAAATCTTTTTAAAAAGTTACTTCTTTTGACAGGCATTAAAAAAACGCTCTTCAGTGAAGTGGGCTTTCTGATAATTTTTGTTCTTAGGTAAACATGACCTAAACTCAGGTTTATTTCATAAAGGAACTTATCTTGAAGCTTTATATTATCTCTCTTCCCATACTGATATTTTAATAGGAATCTCAAAAAATTTTAAGAAGTGTCTCTGAATTCAGTTTTAGATACAATTTGTATTTCCTAAATTACAGTTTAGTGAACGCAGAGCAAGCTAACTTTCTCAAGCAGGGGTGAGCAAACATTTTTGTAAAAGTCCAGGTAGTAAGTATTTTAGGCCTTGTGGGCCTTTCCGTCACAACCACTGGACTCTGCCCATATAGAAAGTAGCCATAAACAATGTATAAAGAAATGAGAACAGCTATCTTCTAGTAAAGGTTTAGTTAAAAACAAAACCAAACACAAAACACAGGTGAGAAGCTGGATTTGGCCCTTGGGCAATACATCCAAAAACTATATTTACTTTAATCTAGAAACTGATCTCTTAAATGCCCAAAAACTAAAGCACACCAAATATTCCAATTTTCTGTAGTATTCATTAGATCCTTCCATTTCCCATGTTTGAAAAGAGAACGGTCTATGTAGTGAGATTTTTCCCAGCTGTTAAGGCAGTAACAGACATCAGGAGAGGACACAATCATCTCAGCATTTCTTGGAAGTCCTCAGAGACTGACTGTACATCAGAATACAGAAGGTCTTCATTATAAACAGGGCTATTCCAGTCCTCTTAAAAGCATTTTTTGTTTTTGTATTTGCAAATGAAACAAGAAAAGGATTTTTTTTTTTTTTTTGCTAAAACTGGATCAATAGCCATGAGTAGGTATCATCTAGCCTCACGCTGGTCAAGTGTGGCTGTTCAACCCCAGGGATCTGGTCCTTCATTTCAAGGGAAGGGGGCCATTTTTTAAGAAAAAAATTAATTTGCACCAAGTTTACACCACCCACATAAATAAAATGGAATGCTTCGCTAAGTCCCTATATAGTGACCTTCCTGAGTTTGTGGGAAAAGGGCTCTTGAAATAGTCACTTAAGGTGAATAAGGAGGATGCATTCTATGTCTCATGTAAAGGGAGATGGAAACATTCAGATTAAAGCAATTTACTCTAACACTAAAAACTGTAGATGCACAGAAAAATTTAGTAATAACTAGACAATTTACTCAAACAAAAAATGTGTTTTTTTAACTAGATAATTACAAATGAAGCTTTAAAAATATACAGATGTGTGGGCCTTACTCTTGAGCATTCTGATTCAACAGTCTGGGGTGGGGCCGAGGAACCTGTCTTTTTTTTTTTTTTTTTTAAAGTTTGACTGGTGATTCTGATATACACCCTTGAAGAAAAACGATATTCTGAAAAGAATTACTGGAATAATTAGCATAATATACACTGTATTTGTCAAGTAAAAAACTCTTTTCAACTTTATTCTAAGCATTACTTTTAGAAAGTTTCAGATCTTACAAAAACACAGCTATTCCAAATAATCTCAAATATACCTGAGAATTTAAAATGATACACTTGAACTTTTAAAAGCTTACCTGAGAACCAGAAACACCAGATGACTGCATATAATACTGCTGATTCTGTAATTTTGCATACATGGAATACATTGGATCTTCATTCATTAACTTGGTATACAATGAAAGTGCTTCCATCACTTTAACATTAAGTTCTGAGAGTTCTGAATGTTTTCTGAAATATTACAGAGTAATTTCAAACACAACTGCTAATTAAATGATATAATGTTCTAAATAAGAAGACACATAAAAATAGCAAAAAGGAATATAAGTAGACACTACTTAAACCTGATGACGGAAAATATCCTGTATTCTAGCTCCAAGGCAACGAAAACTAAGGTACCGTGCTGGGAGAAGGCTAGCTTATTGTACTTGACTTTATCTTGAAATAATTAGGTGTCCCTAACAAATAACAGATGGGAAAGTCATTTGTGGGGTCTGGTAATGTCACTTATAGCATTACAATGATTAGAACAGTTAATCATTACTTTTTAAAAAGACTAATATAATTAAGATCCAATAAATCATCACTTAAAAAAAAAACCCCGTAGGTAGATGGGTACAATTCTAATTCCCACATCTGGTGGAAAACAACTGAATGAGAACTGGTACCTTTGGCAGATCTTTGTTTTTTTCCCCCTCCTTTGGCATATTTTTAAAATAAAAATAAAATAAAAAGGCAGCTCTATCTCAGTATGCACTTAGAGAGAAATTCAGCAAAGAAGACATGCAATATAGATACAGCACATGTTCTTTTACCTATCAATATCTTCCAGCTTTTCATCAATGAGAGGTCCCATCTGGTGACACATTGCTAAGACAACAAGATTTAAAGAAATATAAGAAAACACAGCAAAGAAAACCTCATCTCTGGTGGATATTCATATAAGCAAGACTGGGTCATAGAAGAGTGAAAAGTGCTCACATTGTTTTCTATCATATTCAATTTTATTTCAGTGTAAAACCGTATTGTAACAGAACACTAGATATAAGCTCTAATTATTCTTTATGTGCAAGGTTAATGGAAAACAAAGTTTACCTTCAAGATGAAGTAACTCTGGAAGATCTGGCTGATCATCACTGGGATCTGTACTCTGCAACATCTGTAGCAACTGGTCCATTTTGTCCTGCAAGAATTAAATAGTTAACGTAACAAGCAACAAATCATTATGCAAAAATATGTTCTCACTTCATTAATTAGATAGCAGATAGAAGACTTTTATAATTCACACAGAGACTCCAATTTTGCTTTTATGTATTTAATATCCATGTATTCTCTTTAGTAATATGTGAAGTCGGAGCCCTGAAAGCTCTCCCTACATATTTTTCAAACTGCTAACGGAGACTCTCTTAAATGAGAAGAACAGAGCCATAGTTCAACTTACAACGTGTGAGTTCTTCAATCTGTTATGTCATGCCATGGATCCGTGTCACGATGTTTTGGAGCAGCTGGACTCTTGCCATGCTGACAGGTGTAACTTCCCCTCTCAAGATGGCATTACTTCTGACTAACAACTCAGTTAGTACTTCTCCACCACGGAGAATATGGCAGCTGCGTTAGCATGGCACAGCTCAGCTACAGTACAGCTCTTCTCCTTCTAAGTAGGGCCATAAGATTTTATTCTACATTTTCTTCCCACCTATGTTTCAGTCTGTCATAAAGGAAGATGTAAGATTGTGGCTTCTCTCCTCTCCTATATGGGGAAAGGCTGGAAGGATCTCAAAGCAAGGACTCAGATCACAGAATCTTCCTTTGTAAAAACCAATGGACCTAATGAAATCATCATTACATAAACACATCTATATATTACGTAATTACATATGTACTTAAATGTAAGTTTTTAAAAATCAAAATGCCGATCTCATGTACCAAAGAGTAATAGTGCAATAATTACAAACTTCTCTCCATGCGTGGTTTTTACGTGGTTATATTACTAAACATAGGACATTAGGTAAACAGTGGAAAAGACTACCAATTCTATGCAGTCATTTAAACCAAAACAAAAATGCTATTTCTGCGGCACCTGGGTGGCTCAGTGGGTTAAGTGTCTGACTTCAGCCCAGGTCATGATCTCACAGTCTATTGGTTCGAGCCCTGTACTGGGCTCTGTGCTGACAGCTCAGAGTCTGGAGCCTGCTTCAGATTCTGTGCCTCTCTCTCTCTCTGACCCTTCTCTGCTTGCGCGCTCTCTCAAAAATAAATAAATACTTAAAAAAATAAATAAATGCTGTTTCTGCAAAGAACAGTCTGAGAGATGAACTAATCAGTGGACAGTGAAAGTCACACAAGTATATAAAAAACTCTTCTAAAGTCACAAGAATTTTGTATTTTGAAATGCGTGCCAGTTTTCAATGTAAACAATTCAGAATTTTCATTTTAAATAGTCTAAAAAAAGGCGTGTGACAGAAAAATTTACCTACAGCAAAAAAAAGGGGGAGGGAAGCAGGAGTTACATGACAGTCAATTAACATGTGGATGATTTTTGTTTTAAACACTACACTCTATGTGAAATTACCTAGAATAAAAGACGTGAGGTTTATCATACGGGCCACCAGGCTGACTCTACACGCATTTTCTTATGTAATGCAATTGGCCAAACATTACGTTTCCCTGATCCTGTCAACTTCCCTGGCTCTCAGCACAATCTCTAGTCTGTTTCTCTAAAAAAGAACTCTTCAAACTTTGTTCCTGGCTCCCTCCAGAAGGCGGCTAAAAACCTATAAAATCCCTTCACATATTTTAAAGATGACATATCATTTTTCATCATATTTAAAATGTGTAAATAATGATCTTTGCAAATGAAACAGCCACATATTCTATTAAATATATTCCATCCAAAAAAATTCACTACAATAATGTTTGTAATAACTAAAAACACACACACACACACACACAATTGCAAACAACCTAAGTGTTCGATAGAAGAATATTAAATCATGCTAAGTCCAGTCTATGGAATATTAAGCAGAAATTTTAAACAATGAGGTACAGAATAAGACTACAGAGGCAGTTTCAGGGAGAACCTTTGCTTTGTCTAGACTGCCTGAACTTTTGTAACATAAAATACATCCACTAATAAAGTAATCACTTTTTTTAAAAACCAGACAAGTATTTCAACTTCAATAGCAAGTACGAACCACTATCACAGAAGAAATCACTTACTTCATCAATAAAGGCTTGTTCCGGTTCTGGCTCTATTGTTTCTACCTGAACATCATCACTAAATTGTACCGTCTTCTTCTCCGTTTTAACTGTAAAACATGTAATATTTACCTTTTCTTTAGAAGGAATTTAAATTTCTATTTTAAAGCACTTCAAATTCCATGACAGAATCTGGATTTTCCTTAAGGAATAATGAGACTACACATTTAGACAAAAATGACAGCATATTATTTTGTGGAATTACGTGAAGATTTCTTATTTTGCTCTTCTAAAGATTTTACGTTTTACTTCACTAAAAATAAGAGGTATATTTCTGAAGCAAAGATTAATCACTCATTACATAGGAGAATTTAGTAAACTGGTGGGCAAAAAGTAAAGTTTTATAAGTAAAGTTATTTTACAAGTAAAGTTTTACATAAATGAACTCTGCATATTAAAATAAATTCTCATTTGAAAGACCATGCTATTTCATTGCAGTGAACTGGAAAGTCAGCTATATGTTCTCTGGCATGTCACTCAGACTTTTTACTAAAAGAATGACATCCAGGGCAGTGGAGGACTTTATAAGGAGCACTGACAGAGATCTGAATTTTCCACTAAATCGGCCTGCATTTTTTAGTTGCATTATTCTTTGAAATAAAACTGTGGTTATGGAAGGATCTGCAAACCAATGGCCAGACGCATACACTTCTCTTGCTCAACAAGGCAATCTTTAGAATTATTCAATAGATCATTAACTAGAAAATACAAGATTATGATTAACAGAGCAATTAATCTTCTCCCCCAAAATACTGAGCGGTCCTTACAGCTTTAAAGGAATGAACTTCCTTTCTGCATTTTTCATCCTTGTATCAATGTGGTCAATCTGTATTCATAAAAATATTAATAATCAAGATAAAAAGGAGGTTGGGAATGGAGCAGAATTAAGGCAATATATTATTAAACGATTAAGTGTGTGTAACAGAATATTACAGTACCCCCAATGACTCTCTTATACTGTGAAACATGCCCATTTTAAAATGAGGTTAACAGCAGCACAGCAACATAGAAAATTCTTGCACAGAAGAAAGCTAACAGATGACCCAGCCTGGATCTGAATGCCTATGCGTCTGGCTCTGCCAGTCCACATGCTGGAATCTGGCCGATGATTTTACTCTGAGAACAGGCGCTCCTGTCTCTCATGTATTCTGTACTGTGTGCTTCCGTATAAAAGGCAGAGAGTTTAATTTCTAACATAAGAAATACATTCATCCCATGTAAGTCACCATAAAGCAAAATTCTATGCAAAAAAGTTTCAGCTGGTTTCATTTTCCCTTGAGGGTAAAAGAGACATGTGCTAGAGAGATTTCTGCTTTTTAAATCTTGAGCTATTAGCAAGTAGGAAGCTGGGAAAGCATTGCATTGGCTGCTACCCTTAAGACAACACACAGAAGAACAGCATAGTGCTGGCCACGTACAAGTGTCAGTGCTTTTTCTCACAGGCACCACTTCTACTGTTACGCATGTGTGCATCTGTGTGTATGTGTATCCATATGTGAGCAAAATAACCTGTTTTCACAAGATCTACTACACCTCCATAAGTGAAAACAAGCTAAGCAGGCGGGTACTTCTCCCTGGCATTAAGTAAAGCGGGCTCCTGTCTCCTCACAAGGAACAGTGCGAGGTCGATCACGGCAGCTTCCTTTCCCAAGCTCAGCTCTTTCCCAAGCTCCGTGACAGAAGTTCTGCTGCCCCTGCTGTCCTCAGGAGTCCCGAGAGACGCACAGGAGCTGCACTGCTACGTGATGGGGACAAGAAGAGACGGCCACGTGATCGATATGAGATCTTGGAACTCCTCCTGAACAGAAGTCCAAGGCAAGTGTATTCTTTCCAACAGCTGATTCAGGACAAAAACAGAAACAAAAAACTCAAACGCCCAAAAAACAAGTTAAAAAATCACTACCGTAAAGCTGGCACACAATACGCTGCCATTTTAAGTAGGTTCCATAACCTATTTTGTGCGTTCTAACAAAAAAGAACTGCATTACTAGAATGGGTATTAAGAATCCGTCTCCATCGTAAATCTGTCATGAAATGACACAGATAACCTGGCAATAATTAGAAGACAGTGTCATTTCATCAAAGAAAAAAGTAACGTCTGATTTGTTGTTAAAGCCTTCTCTTGAAAGAAAAGTGTTCCTATGCTTCTTCAAGAAAAGGTTATCTGTTATTTTATGTATATATATGTATGTATATGTATATTTGTACATATATACACAAACACTTACGTATCATTTATGCCTAAATATTTATATAGTGTTTTCGGTAAGATTCAGTACTAGGAGTTGTTGGAAATGAAAAGGTGACTAAGACAAAGATCCTTTCTTAAAATTCTTGTAAACTAACAAAGACCTAAGCATCTTGCAATTTATAACTTGCTTTGATCCTCTCTACTCACATTACAGAAAGATGAGATACTTTGCCAGGTAACTATAGCTTACCAACTTATATACAAAAGCTCTTTTAAAATTCTAAACCTTTCAACCACTAACAGAAATCTTTCTACAGAAATATCTATTTAGAAGATATTTCTTATTTATGACCTTATTTTGGTGTCCCCAACTCATCATTATTTACGATTCTGTGAACTACAGTACAGTGGAGAAACAGAGTGAACTGTCTACAAACATTTTGGTAGCTACCAGTACTGACCTCTCCTGCAACTAATATGCCTGCCGGGAACATCGCTTTTCCTTCCTGGGACCCATGTTCTACTTTATTTCCCTTAGTACACACAGGTTTGGAAACCAAACAAAAAAGTTTTCATAAGATTAGCTATGGCTCCTTCTGAGTATCTGACATGAGGTCCTAGAAAAGCCATTCATTATATTTCTTACAGGCCACCACTTCCAAGTTTGGGGCTAGACACTAAAGAAATGGTTTCAATCTCTGAACAGAAAGAATTTCCTATGAGATTACACTGTATTTGTCACACTTTATGAACTGATAATGAAAATATGTAATGCATAGAATTTATCACACTTCTTAATCTACGTTTTTACAATGGCATACATATAATTTTTTAAAAGAAAAAATAGGCTGCACAACTACCTGATTAAGGATAATCTTGGTAGATAGATAATTTGAATTTGTAGATAATTACATGATTTTCAGTAAATAATGTGACTAGCAAGCTGTGTTTTTAATAAACACCTCGGAGGCACTAATATCTGAGAGTTCCAGCTCTATAAAATTGAATTTACTCAACTTTTATTAAGAAGAAAATTATGGATTATCATCCACTTACAGACTGGAAAATACTTACTCATTTCTGGTTCAGCAGTAAGGTCAGCAGTCACAAAATTAGAGGGAAATAACCCCATGCCTTGATGGGTTTCACCTTTCCACCAGTTTGGATCACTAATGAGAAACAAAAAAGATTTTTCTCTCTATAAATCTCTACCTTAATAGTGTTTAACTTGCATTATTACGAGATTTGAATCCCACAACAATCCAATGAGGGAAGAAATGAATGTATTACTATTACAAATAGAAGATGAAGCCTCAGAGAAGATAAAGAGCTATTAAACACACAGTTCTTTATCTTTTGGAAGGCTGGCGAATGCTCTGAGGATTTAATAAAAGGCTCTGAACTCTCTCCGAAACAGAGGTCTCTACATTTGACTGTCAACTTCAGGTAGTTCATGGGCTCCACTGTCTGTAAGTCTCTTTTGTAATAAGATAAACGGTGGGCACTTAATTCAGTGCCTAAATTAGTGCTCTCTCTTACATACAAAATGCACATTTTTCCTGTACAAAAATGCACATTTCTCCCCCAGAGGAGACAACATGACAGATGACACTGTTTATAGAACAAAGTGTTCACAGTGAGCACACCTCCAGGTACAACCCCACGTTCACTATTATCTCTTGGGTGCTCCGTATGAGGAAAGCTAGGAAGCTCTCAAAAAAATTTTTTGAATGAATCAATGATCAAGGCTTTGTGCAATTTTCAGCATATCCCCTCACAATTTAATTCATTTTCTTTCACTCAAGAAACTGTAAATGTGCTACTACAGGAATAACCTAAACTTTTAAAAATTTATTCTTTAAAATCACTTGCAAATTTTAGCACTTCATTATCGGTAACGATCACCAGTAACAATTTTCAAGTAAACCTAAAGCTGTAGCCAAAAACCAGATGTACTGAATCATCTCCCATAGTAATGTAAATGCATATAATTCCATATAAAATGAGTCTGTCCCACATGGATATACTATTTGTTGTGAATAATTAAATTCAATATATTAGGTATTTCTCACAAATTCCATACATACATATACATATTTGGTTTATTTTCTAATATTTTAACTTTACTAATTTAATTTCTAAAATATTAACTAATAACTGATCTTATTAGGTGAAATAAAAAATGAATAAACCAAGCCTCCAAATCAAATAAAAACAATTTAAAAAAGAGATGAGAAAACAAATTCAGCTACAAAATAATAATCCAGACAATATGACACAAGCAAAACCACCAACTACCACACACAAGAAGTATCTCCATGAATATTTCTCTTATTACCTTTGGTTATGGCATTCAACAGGGGTAATATGAAACACAGAAGTAATATATGTTTTCATATGAATGTCAACTTAATATCAATTTGATATTATCCATCACCTGTCATCAAGAACGGTAATAATTTCTCCAGCTTTAAAAGTAAGTTCATTATCTTCAGCAGCTTCAAAGTCATATATAGCACGAACTTTTCGGCCTTCGTGTTGGTGGTTAGTTAAGAGATTGGATGTGCTTGGGTACAAAGAAGAAAGTGTGGTTGACTGCTGCCTTTGCTCCTTCAGGGACAACTCAATAGCTGAAAAATAATGAGTTTAAAAAAAGACCCCAAATGTTAGTATATCCAACAATCCAAATAAGTACAAAAAAATATCTGAAGGTAAAAATATATTCTTTTTTTTTTTTTTAATGTTTACTATTGAGAAAGAGAGAGAGAGAGAGACAGAGCATGAGAAAGATAGGGGCAGAAAGAGAGAGGGAGATACACTCTGAAGCAGGCTCCAGGCTCTGTCTGAGCTGTCAGCATGGAATCTGAAGCAGGGCTTGAACTCAAAAACCACTAAACCATGACATGAGCTGAAGTTGAAGGCTCAACCGATTAAGCCACCCAGGCACCCCATTGTACATTTTTTATAAATGTTTATTTTTGAGAAACAGAAAAAAGAGAGAACTAGTCAGGGAGGGGCAGAGAGAGGGAGACACAGAATCCGAAGCAGACTCCAGGCCCTGAGCTGGCAGCACAGAGCCTGATGTGGGGCTTGAACCCACGAACCACAAGTTCATGACCTGAGCTGAAGTCAGATGCTTAACTGACTGAGCCACCTAGGTGCCCCAAAATGCATTCTTCTTTTAAACGTGGAGCTGGAACTAGGACATATTATGACATACTGAATAAAAACCATTTCATCAATTTAATTCATTCATTCACGAAAGTGTAAAGAATAAACCATTAAAAAGTTGAACAGCCATTAATGACTATTTTTACTGAATAGATAAAATTTTAATTATTTTTGATAATAAAAAGATATAATCCCTTAACTCCTCCGTCTTTTTTTGCTGCAGATATTTTAATTTTCTTTTATCTTTTCAATATATTTCTATAGCCTCAATTCCCAAAATGATAATCAAAATCACTTGGGAAGTCAAGAGCCCCAAATCTCAATGAGGATTTACTAAATCAGACTATCAAAGGTAGTATCTGAGAACCTGCATTTTATTGCTCCGAAGGTAATTCTTATGTGGTCAGTCTAATAAGCAGAACGTGGAAATAACTACAATGAAGTGTCACCTATCAAATTCCCTCAAAGAGATTTCAAATGTGTCTCTTTTATCTCTTCCACTCCTGCCCCAATGAAGTCATCACCATGTGTCACTTAGGTGCTGTAATGTCATCTGAACAGACTGATTACCCCGCTTTCAACTCAAACCATAACCTCTTCATCCCTTCTACCTCTGTTCTACACCGAGGAAAGACCTAACAGGGAAAAGAAAACTTTAAAACTATCATAAGAAAATACAGAAAAGTATCTTTTAGGATTTGGGGAGAAAAATATCTTAAGATATTAAAAAAGAGCAAAAATCACGACAAAAAAGCAAAAATTCTGACTATATAAAAATTTCAAGCTTGTTTGATAAAATACACTATTGTCAAAGTTAAAGTAAATGCCCAAAACCAAGAGTAGATCTCTATGATAAGCATTACAAGGGTACTCAATGCAGCCTATTATTATAGTAAAAACAAAAACAAAAACAGAAAACCCAAATGCCCATCAGTAGCAGGACACATAAATTACCATATACACTTTTTTAGTACACTGGAATATTACACAATCAATAAAACAAATGAACTTGATTTCAATATGTTTTATTATGAATAAATCTTGGACATATTGTTGCATGAAAAAAACCAAACTGTATATGTCATGTACACTATTTATGAAAAAAACAATTTGTGGGGTGCCTGGGTGGCTCAGTCACTTGAGCGTCCGACTCTTCATTCTGGCTCAATTTTATGATGTCACAGTTGTAAGACTGAGTCCCATGTTGGGCTCTGGGCTGATGGCATGCAGCCTGCTTGGAATTCTTTCTCTCCCTCTCTCTCTGCCCCTCTTGTGCTCACTCTTGCTCACTCTCAAAATAAACAAATAAACTTAAAAAAGTAATTTGCTGAACACATAAAAGTATTTGGCATTGTTTATAGACATACAGTGTGATAAAAATATTAATAAAAATAGACTGAAAGGACACATATAAATAGTACTTGTCTCAAAAGAGTATCATTTGTGGGGCGCCTGGGTGGCTTAGTCGGTTAAGCGTCCGACTTTCGCTTAGGTCACGATCTCGCGGTTCGTGGGTTCGAGCCCCGCGTCGGGCTCTGTGCTGACTGCCAGCTCAGAGCCTGGAGCCTGTTTCAGTCTGTGACTCCCTCTCTCTCTGGCCCTCCCCTGCTCACGCTGTCTCTCTCTCTCTTTCTCTCTCCTAGAAATAAATAAAACATTAATAAAAAAAATTTTTTTTAAAAAAGAGTATCATTTGATACTGAAAATGGGAACAAAATAGGTTTCAGGGTTAGCTGTAAAGTCCTATTTCTTTTATTTTTAAATACCTCAGGAAAAAAATATTAAGTAAGGGCCCATCTTCTTCCCATCTTTCCAACATCACAGACTTAAAGAACATACCTTTGGCTAAATCTTCTTCTTCCTTTTTGTTAGCCACAGTACCAGGGTCTTTGGCAACCAGGGCTGGGCTTGCTTTTGCTTGTTCTGCAGCCTAACACAAAAACAGGAACACAGTATTTAAGGAATGTTCTCAAATGTTCCTCCCTACACTCAATCTAAGAACTTGGAAGACCATTCTTATCAATCCACCACAGACTTCAGAAGAAGAAAACAACCCAGAGGTGCCTGGGTGGCTCAGCTGGTTAAGCATCTGACTCCTGGTTCTGGCTTAGGTCAGGACCTCACGGTCTGTGGGACCGGGCCCTGTGCCAGGCTCTGTGCTGACAGCATGGAGCCTGCTTGGGACTCTCTTTCTCTGTCTCTCTCTCTCTCCCCGCCCTTCCCCTGCTCGTGCTCTATCTCTCTCTCAAAAAATATATAAATATTTTTTTTAAGATATAAATTAAAAAAAGAAGAAGAAGAAAATAATCCAAACTGGAGCAGCCTCCACTTCGGAAGGAGAAAAGAGACACAGAGCAACGGGATACCGTGGGCTGCTAAAAGCAGACAGCATGCAGACAAGTGAAGAAAGACCAGAGGAGATTTAAAAATTTTTAGGAAAATTCTGAAACCACAAAAGGAGTTGAGAAAGGGAAGGAGATGTCTGTTTTAAAAACGAATAGTTTTCTTTTTAACTATCCATTCAACAGTTATATTTTATTGCTTCCTTCCAGATTAAAAGGCAGGATGTTATGTTTAAGAATAGAGATTTATATATAACAATATAACGCTCATAAAATTTTATTTTTTTGTAAACTAAAGTACAAGTAGTTAATTCTGACAACATACTCCAGTCACCAGGAACTGCTAACACGAACGCACGTGTGCTTGTGCGCGTACATGCACGCACACACGCACACAATTATATGCCTTTGACACAAATTTGTTTCTGCTTATAATGTCCTCTCCTTTGGCTCCTTTTACTCTGTCTACATTTTTCCCTATTGAGTTTTAACTCACCAGTCTGTAAACAACCAAAATAATCACTTTCTCAATGAAACAGCTAAATTAAGCATCCTTTCCTCTGTGTTCCTCTGACAGTATTTTTACCAAGGTACTATGCTATGGCTAGTTAAGAATGTAAATTGTGGAGTCAGGTAAACATGGGTTCAAATTCTAAATCCACAAGGTTCCAATGTCTGACTGGGGGTACATTAACCTCTGGGGTACATGTACCTCAAGTTCTTCATCTACAAAATGAGGATAATAACAACACCTACAGATGACAGGCTTTGAGAGAATAAATTAACACACAGCTTCCAAACACAGGATGGGGGCTGCCATTGAGGGTTTAAAACAAAATGTATAACATTCTCTTTGGGATTTATAATGTATGTAGAGGTAATGTAGGTCATACATATGGCAATTACTGCATAAAGAATGAGGAAATGGAGAATAAAAATAAACCCTGAACAGTTGCAAGGTTTCTACATTTTATATGAAATAATACAATGTTAACTCAAAATAGACTGTGAACAGTTACAAAGGTATATTAAAATACCCAAAGAAACGACCACCAACAAAAATGGAATTCTAATAAGTATTCAAACTAACACATGTACAGCGCATAGAATAGTGACTGCACATATAACAGTCAATAAATCACAGCTTCTATTATAACCACCTGCTTGTATCTCTGTCTCCATGGTATCAGTCAATAAATCTCAAGATCTATTATAATTACCTGCTTATATCTGTCTCTATAGCCATGCTATATGTTCCCTTAGAATATATGTGCCTAAATATTCATTACCAAAAAAATCAAAAAATAATTGTTGAGTAAATGAAAGGCAAAATATTCAACATTATGATAAAATACAGTTATAGATACATAGTTTTACATGGACAGTTCCAAATGTAGATATGGATTTTATATTATTAAATATAAAATAAAAATAACTGTGTTTTATATTGTAAAACAAATGCACAAAGCATTTATTTTTAGAAAAGCAGATACTAAAAACCTTTTTGTAGTTCACTGAATGTAACTTTAAGTACTTTCAATTCTGATTCATCTCTAGATGGAATCTTTTTTAGATACTAAGATTTTAATCATCACACATCTCGGAAAATTAAAGGTATGCTTCCTCAGAATGACTTTTTCAATTACATATGAATTTTTTACAGTTTGTGAATTTCACAAAATAGACCTAATGATCTTCTCCGGTCTGTGAAGGTCTCTATCAATCAAGAAGAAAGTGCAGGCAATATATTCAAAATGCTAAAAGGAAACAAAATACAACTAAGTATACTCTACTTGGCAAGATTATCATTCAGAATTGAAGAAACGAGTTCATCAGTACTAAAAGGTTTCCCAAGAAATATCAGAGGGACTACTTTACAGGGAAAAGACCATAACTAGAAGAAAATATGTGCAAGAAAAATTACAATGATAAAGGAAAACACACAGTAAGGGTTACTGATCAACCACTAAAAAAGCTAGTATGAAGGTTATAAGACAAGAGTAAAAAAGTCAGGTATATTATAATAATTACTTAGGGGATACACAAAAAATGTAAAACATGACGTCAACAACATAAAATGTGAGGTGAGGAGAATAAAAATTTAACACTTTTAAAATGTGTTTGAACATAAGCAACCACCAACTTAAAATAACTTGTCATAAATATAAAGGCTGTCATAAATGAACCTCATGGTAACCACAAACCAAAATTCTATAACAGATACACAAAAAGTAAAGAGAAGCAGTGACATAGTAATAAGAGGGGGGCTTTAAAATATCCACTTACATTAATAGATAGCTTATCCAGATAGAAAATTAATAAGGAAACAGTGGCCTTAAATGATATATTAGACCAGATGGACTAAATAGACATACACAGAACATTTCATCTTAAAACAGCAGAATACACATCTTCTCAAGTACACATGAAACATTATGCAGGAGAGATCACATGTTAGGTCACAAAATAAGTCTCAGTAAATTTAAAAAGAATGAAATTTTATCAAGCATCTTGAATTTTATCAACCATTTCCATAATGGCTGGAAACTAGAAATCAATTGCTAGGAAAAAATTGTAAAAAAACAAACACATGAAGACTATACAATATGCTACTAAACAACCAATGGGTCAACAAAGATATCAAAGAGAAAATTAAAATGAAAATACAATGTTCCAAAATCTATGGGACTCAGCAAAAGCAATACCAAGAGGAAAGTTTGTAGTAATACAGGTCTACTTCAAGAAACAAGAAAAATCCCAAATAAACTAACGTTATACCTAAAGGAAGTAGAAAAAGAAGAATAAAACCCAAAGTCGGTAGAAGGAAAGAAATTAAGAGCAGAGCAGAAATAATGAAGTGGACACTAAAACAACAATAAAATGATCAATGAAACTAAGAGCTGGTACTTTGAAAAGATTAACAAAACTGATAAACCATTATTCAGACTCATCAAGAAAAAAAAGAGAGGACTCAAATAAATAAAATCAGAAATGAAAGAGAAGTTACAACCCATACCAGAGAAAGAAAGGATCATAAGAGACTATTACAATCACACGTCAACAAAGTGGACAAGCTAAAAGAAATGGTTAAATTCTAAGAAACATAGTCTTCCAAAACTACAAGAAACAGAAATTCTCAAGAAATGATTACTAGTAATGAAACTTAATCAGTAATCAAAAACCTCCCAAAACACAAATTCCAGGACCAGACCTCCATAGGTGAATGTCTATCACACACTCAGAGTTAACAACATACTTGAGAAACATTTCCAAAACCTTGAAGATTAAGGAAAGCTTCCAAACTCATTTCACACGGCCAGCATTAACCCTGATATCAAAACCAAAGACACCACCCAAAAAACCCCACAAAAACAAACAAACAAAAAGCCAATATTCTTTACGAACATGCAAAAATCCTCAAGAAAATATCAGCAAATCGAATTCAACAATACATTATTAGTAACATACACCATGATCATGTGGGCTTTAATAGTTCAATATCTGCAAACCAATCAACATCATGCACCACATTAACACAACAAAGGAAAACAATCATATGCTGCTTCAATAGAAGCAGTGAAAATATCGAACAAAATTCAACATTCTTTTAAGATAAAAACTTTCAGTAAAGTGGGTATAGAGGGAACATACTTTAACATAATAAAGGTCATATTTGACAAACCCAGAGCTAACACAATACTCTGTGGTCCAAAGCTGAAAACATTTCCTCTAGGACCCAAGAACTAAGGATGCCCACTCCTGCCACTTTATTATTCAACATATTGCTGGAAGTCCTAGCCACAGCAACTAGGCAAGGAAAAAAAGGAAAAAAGTGGCACTCTGCATCTTCTTGTGATTTGCCAACCACATCCCTGAGACATGTCAGTGAATGCTGGGAGTAAAAGAATTTGACTGTATTAGGTTTCTGGTCACCAGAGCTACTTTTAACTGTGGCAAAGTGGATACTTGGCCATCACTGACCCCTTCATTGAATTCAACCATGTGGTATACACGTTCCAGTATGATTCCACCAATGACAAATTCAATGGCATGGTCAAGGCTGAGAACAGGAAACCTATAATCAAGGGAAAGCTCATCTCCTAGGAGTGAGAGCCCATCAACATCAAATGGGATGAGATTGGTGCTGAATATGCAGAGTCCACTGGGGTCTTCACTACTATGGAGAAGGCTTAGGGCTCACTTAAAGGGTAAAGTCAAGAAGGTCATCCTCTCTGCCCCTTCTGCTGATTCCCCCGTGTTTGTGATGTGCATGAATCATGAGAAGAAGGGACAACTCCCTCAAGATTATCAGCAATGCCTCCTACACCACCAACTGCCTTGTCCCTCTGGCCAAGGTCATCTATGACAACTCTGGCATCATGAAGGGACTCATAACCACAGTCTCTGCCATCAGTGCCATCCAGAAGACCATGGATGGCCCCTCTGAGAAGCTGTGGCATGATGGCCAAGAGGCTGCCCAGAAGAGCATCCCTGGTTCTACTAGCACTGCCAAGGCTGTAACCAAGGTCATCCCTGAAATGAATGTGAAGGTCACTGGCATGACCTTACAAGTCCACAACCCCAGTGT